CTCTTCTGTCTGAATGTCGGCGTAAAAGAAAGAAGTAGCTGACCCCAGCAATTCCGCAATAGGTGCTGATGACATAAAAGTGCCCAACTGGTTTGCTTATCAAAGGTTCGCATTTTGGTTGCGGTGAACTTGAAGATTTCTGTCTTCTGGGTTGTTGCGCCGTGTTGTCTGGTAGAAGTTTATCGACGTTTCAGAGGCAGGTTCCTGCTTTGGTTTTAAGAAAGCTTCCAACATTTAATTACAAACAGCAGTGTATTTTACTGAGCTATACAGAATTAAGCAATAATCCGTTATCTAAAGACGGATAATAACAACATCTTATATGGCTGTCTTCTGGATTGAAGCGCCGTGTTGTCTGGTAGAAGTTTATCGACGTTTCAGAGGTCCTTGTTGCCTGTTTCATTCTTAAACCAGTTACACCAACAGAGCCTCGTACTGGCTCTGTATTTGTCCCATTTCAACTGCTGTATTCATAACTAACATTTTGAAGGGCGTTAAAATGTTTAAAAGTTCGTGTCTTACCTTCAAAGAAAACGCAAGACTACTGCATCAATTGACGCTGAGAATCATAAGAAGCCCATCAATGATGTACTGTGCGAGTAAAATACTGAATTATTGATTTCAAAGCAGGTGGTACATGTGGTTACCACTGAGTATTGCTAAAGTTAAGTGCACTCAAACCTTCCACAATGTGACTTACAATGTCTTACCGCTACTGCCACCAGAGCCGCCTAGCGGTAGACGGACGATCTTTGTTACCATAATTTCATGCAGAATTATTATAACGTTTCTATAATGCAGAGGCAAGGGGGAAAAATGAGTAAAATTCGTTCAGGTGTCTGTACATTGCAACGGATCCTATCTGAATGGCTGAATCAGCTTTGTCAACTGTAGAATTCGTTGCGGTATGCAGAGTAGATTAGCTTGGACGTGAGTAACTTTGCAAACAGAAGTGTCACCTTCCCATTCTGGGAAAGAATTCAGGCAGACGAAGTTGTCGATCCAAAGATCGTTCATACTTTAAGAACAAAAGAGATGTATGTAGAGACACTGAGGATGGGAGCTGAAACCTAGCGAGGTCGGGCCCAGCCGGGCGCCGTGGCTCGCAGGTCGATGTGAGACGCTTCCTGGGAGGGTTCATCGGAGCCTAGGGGTGGGAGCTGGTGCTGCTGCTGCTGCTTGCGCTGAAATTCGGAACTTGTTGCAACAGGACATCTCTCTCGCTGTTCCCGAATGGATATTTTCAGTTTTAATTGAGCGCCACGCCCTTTTTCCATTAACGGTCCCGTCCCAGTAGAAATAGTACTCGTAATAGTCTGATTACTTCCACGATTTTTATTTAACGATGATATATCAACAGCTTAAGATGAGTATGCGTTCAGAATAAATTGTAAGGAAGCAGCCTGTAAATGTAGTGTACCAGCATTTGCGTGAAGAGTTTGAGGAAAATCATGTAAGTTTTGGAGTCTCAGGGTCTTCGGAACAGAAAGCAGAACTGCTAGCCACTGTTAAGGTACAATTTGGCTGCACGCGACAGAGACAAGCGACCGAGGCAGGCGACAGAGACGGACACATCGCAGCTTGTCGCCACACACTTCTGAAGTGACGACCGAGACGTGCGGCAAAGTGTTTGTTTTCTTTGTTTTGTTGAGACATACGTGCACATATTCTGTGAAAAATGAGTACAAAAATGCTTCTAAAAAGGTTAATCGAAGAATAAGAAGATGATGATGTGTTGCTGTGTTATTTGTTGCGAAAGAAACAAAGAAAACCTATGAGTTCAATATTCAAAACCAGACGTGAAGAAGGATCTTTCTGTCGGTGGTCAGTGGTCGGTTTTCTGCTACTAATTCTACCAATTGCTCATCTTGGTCACCAGTAAATTTAATTTCTGCCATTATTTTACTCAACAACACATGTGCTGCCTGAGCCCGTCGCGAGACACTACTGGTCCGAGAGCGGTCTCCTGTGCTTTGTCTCTGTCGCCTGTCTTTGTCTCGCGCTCATAATTTTACTTTATACGATTGTACAGAGAGCAGACAGGAAGCGACCAGTCTCGGTCTCGTAACTCTGTCGCCTGCCTCGGTCGCTTGTCTCTGTCGCGTGCAGCCAAATTGTACCTTTAGACCAACATCAGACTCTTTGGTGTGATGAAATAAAGACGAGAATGTAACTCAGGAGTCTATTGTAACTTCCGAATGTCTGTGATCTTGTCTTATTTGTTTGGGGCAGTCGAAGGATTGGTAAAGGTAAGATGGCAAGAGGTTTACAGACGAGTAGGGATCAAGAGCAAAGCGGTTTAGTGGGGAGAGTGGGCCTAAAATGCAACCTTTCGTCCTCATGAAAAGGAGGAAATTATTTGAGACTCTGTATTCGTTACCTACTTTTACCACGAAGATTTAGTCAGTAACTAGCGGAAGTGAAAACACACAAGAACTTAGGTTTAGACACAATTGGGTCAACATCGCTTGGATGGAAATATTAGAATACACTAAAATATATTTAAAAATAAAAAAACATTGAATTTTTGACGAGACGTTTTATAAGTGTACAATAGTTATTAATAAACACAGTCTGCGTGATACGTGTAATTGATTTTAGCTTATGACTGATATTTTTGGTCTTTTCGCTCAACGTATTTTTTTCTACTAGTCACCTGCAACAACAATGCGATAAACATATCATCATTATTTACAAGACTCGTTGAACAATACGTTTCTTTGTCTCTTGGGGCTTAAAAAATAGATCGGGTGTATACGACCACACTCTGCAGTGTAGTATGCCTGTCAGGAATTGATGGGATCCCACCAAAAGTTCTTATGATGTACTTTGTATCTAGATAATTTTGAATTTCTAGTGTCCATCATCAGTGTATTAATACGAAATAAGATGTAAGAACCTGAATGTGGGTTACAAATCCTGAAACACCTCGTCCTTGAACCAATTACGAAGACAGAATTTTTTTAGACATTTTTTACATGACGCTCCAATGTAATCTTACGCCTTTCGGGAGTTTAAAATGTAGAGCGGCTGTGCAGAGGGACGCATAATATTAAAATGTCAGTTCGATAAGCGGACTGTGAGATATAAAGTGGATTTAACTGGCTCAGGAGAGGAAGGTCTCTGTCTCTTGGAGAACTATAGGATGTAATAGATCGATTCTATTCCTTAGACGGATGTTGCCTTGTTAGTTATACTACCTGTTGTGTGCGAGGGGGTCTCGGCGGAGATCCGACCTGCCTATAACCTCCCACATCCCATGCACTCATGCTGAGAGACTGCGCGGTCGATGCCCTGGTGCACCCCACGAGCTAAGTTCGATTTGGGACAAAAAAGGGTCTAGACGTTTTCGTGTCTTGCCCCCTCCAACGCCACCCACGCCTCGCCACCCCCCACTGCGCCCCCGTCCGGCGCGTCTGTTTTCAATAATCTGTCTTCATTCTTTTGTTCAAAACTCTCTCTCGCTCGACTTTTCTTCAGACATGAACATCGCGAAAGCACTAACAAAATTAGATTCGTCTTGTACGCCAGTAGTTGACGCCCTCTAGCCCCGAGTGGAGTGTCTAATGACTCGTGAATCTACCATAACCTATATTTCAGTCTGCTGGAGAGAGTAATGCACAGAAGTGGCGAGGACTTACTCGCTTGCGATTTATGAATTTGTTTCCGAGACTGTGTCCGTCCGTATCTGTTTTATATTCGAACGTACTGAATTGAATTTCGTCGAATTTGGTATTCAGAATCAACATTGAAAGTTGTTGGGAAGTTTGTGCATTTTGTATTGATCCTATAATGAATCAAATTTAAGCGCATAAAAAAATGTAAAATGTTCATCGTTCACTGCATTGGTACGCACATGAAATATATATATAGGCATGATCTGTGAGTATCTGGAGTGTTTACAAGGGACTTTTTTTATTATGGCGCGCGAAATTCAAAGGTAATTAATTTTTTTAAACTGTGGTATCTGTGGTGTGTTATAGGTTTTATGGAACTGAATCTTCGTAATTTACCTATACAACTTTTATTTGAGTAATTTTTTGTGTAATACAACATGGCGAAATTGTTATGTAATTTCCAGTATCATGGCATAATTGATAGACTACTAGAGCTAGAAATATAAAATTTTGTATTAACAGAGATTGTGTACGTTAATCGTTCTTATAAGCTAGGTATGAACGAGGCGTATTGTTTGTAAATCAATAATTACAATTGTTAAATTAAGAGGACTAGAAGGGCAAGCATTATCCTCCGGTCTGTTCATGTTACTTCAGAACTAATATAAGTGTTTAATTTTCTTGTTTCATCTGTACGCGCTGCGAATCCGTTCGTTTCTGACACACTATAAATGCAGGCATGAACTGCGAACCTTGTTTAGTCTTTGTCTCTGTTTGCATTTTAGTTCTTCTGTGTTTTCTCGGCGTTTTATTAAAGTAGTATTATGGAATAATATTAACAGCTAAAAAAAACCGAACTAAAGTATTTAAGCAGACCCACATTTGCCTTGTGCCTCCTTTAGGCAGACCCACATTTGCCTTGTGCCTCCTCGTCTCTTTTGTGTTCGCCTGTATGCTGAACTTGGACGAGAGCCTTGCTGTGTCAACAACAATCATGTCGCTCCTACCACTGCCCTCTTGTGTCGCGTTTTGTAAACTCTATACTTTTCATCACTGCTATAACCAGGTTTACAGACGTGCAGTGTAATTACTTATGTAGCTTATTTCAGTCTGACACGAAAACAAAGGATTACACTGTGTCAGTTAGTTGCCATGTTTGGCCTGATCTCTACTTGTAGTCGGCGTAAATTTCCCCCTTGTCTTTATTTTAAAAAGCGAGTACCAACATTTCGTTTCTTTTGCAGTGTTTTCTACCGATTAGGACCCACAGTTCCATTATATTTGCGTTTTATGAATAATATTTACTGTTAAAGTGAACATAATATTGTTATTATTACAATGAATATATTAGCGCTACAACTACATTAAATTCTCTTGTTTCAGGCGAGGTGGAGGAGGTAATTTTATCCTTCTTGCTGAGTTGACAAGTTTACAAGTTGTGAGTTTGTAATATTTTTATACATAAATAGAGTCTTTGTGACTGAATGTCTGTGGACCCTCTAGAAGTGCAAACTCTTCTTCTTGAAGATGTATGAAAACGTGACAGACACACGCAGAGAGACATCAAAAAGCAAAACAAATCTTACACTGTCTAGTTCCAGCAGTTTCTGCGCAGCCGCAGAGCGTCTCGAGTGTTAGGTTATGTTAAACTTCTGCGGAGTCCATGAGACACGTCTTTTGGCAAACGGGGTGATGTGTGTGAATGGGATTCAAAGCAACTTTTGTTTTTATGGTGCTGTACTATTTTCCTGTGTTTTGTATACTAGGCTATGTGAAACGCTGTCTGCTTAACATTCACCTCAACTGATTATCTCAGGTCGCCTTTGAACACAATCACAAAGAGATTTATAATAACCTTCTTAAGTTTTGTTAAAAGTAACTTATCAAGTCGTCGGCTGCGTCCAGGAGGGTTGCCTGTTAAAATTGTGCAGTGATTTCTTGGTTCACTTATCTAAGTCACATCGCGACCTCTCTGTATGATTACGGAAATTCTTCATGTAATCGTGGGCCTAATTCATTTCCCCTAGATGGAGATCCCGAACGCAGTAATACAGTTTTATTCCTGTAACTGAACCAATACCATCTTTTAAGTTTGACATTTTTCGTGAAAATAACGCGAACATATTTCTTGTAGTAATATTAGTAATGGAAGAAATAAGCACCAGATCCTAATGTAACTACCGGGAGAACCCAAATGTTATTTATCTTAACGTCATTTGGCGTAGTGCATATGTTTGAAACAGAATTTTCAGAAATAAAGCTGGACGTAATTTGAGAGACGACGCGTGTCCAACCGCCTTTCAAAAGATTCGTTACAACCACTGCTGTGGATGACACTGGCATTGCAGTTTAATTTCCGTTGCTAGGTGACGAGACAAATCTAGACAATCCTTTGTGTCAAGATGTTAACAAAAACTGTTTCTGTTGTGGACAATGTTTTTACACGTGGAAACTAACCTCGATAATTTGGTGACAAAGGGCCCCAGAGAAATCATTACTTGGGCCGAATGTGTGTCCACGGCTGGAAGCCAGGTAATAGATACAATGTATGTGAACTGAATACTTTGTCAGTAGGTGTAATTACAGAGTTGTGTAATACGTCGTAAACATTTGTATGACTCCAAAATCTGAACTCCGAGAGGCCCAAAAATTATAGGTTATTGTCGGCTATTTTCTTATGGTAAAGGTGCATTCTTCTATATCTCTGCTGTTGTTCACTCGTGCAAGAAATGTTACCAGCCAGCTAGTACAGGCAACCCTCGATTTACGCCGGGGATGCGTTCCTGGACGAACCGGCATAAATTGAAACTCTTTTTATAATGTAAATCTATGGGAAGCCAATGACATGGGTTCCCGGCACCCAAACATTGACGACTTAAGTTCCTCAAAAATTGAATTTGCCTTATCCGTGATAGTAATTTCAGGCAAGGGAATGTTTTTTCGAATCATGTCATCCACCCATAGCAACAGTAATTTCTCCATTCTTTCTAAAAGTTTACTTCTGCTATAACTCGCGTTGCACTTACTCTTGTAGCCTGTTGCATCGACTGTTTTATATTATATGGATTTTTCATTATGGTAGCCACAGTGGAGGGAGGTAACTTCATACTCTGCACACATTACAACGGGTATCACCACCTTCTATTCTACGAATTACGTCCATCTTATCTTCTAACGCAATAGACCTACGCAACTTTTTAGCAACACATTCACTTCTCTTACCAGACATGGTGGCTCTTCTACAATTTATAAATATAAAACAGTTGCTACTGCAGAATAGTGGTCGAACAACAACACAAACACGTTCAATGTGTCAACAAGAAGCGAACTGAGCGCATTTTTCCTTACTCCTTTATCAGGCTGAACGCAAATGCCTCGCCGTGAAGAGTGACCAACGCTCACTACTTCGCAATGAGTGCAGGGGTGACTGTATTTATAATTTTTATTCAAAATCAGCGATGTAATAATTACGATTTAGTATAAGAATCAGTACGAAAAACATTGTAGAACGTTATAAATAATAGCAAAATATATTTATTTTTTTCCACTTGTTCACTTGCTGGTTTCAAAAGCGTCGTTATTCTGAATTTGGCGCAAATTGAGGGTTACCTGTATTCGCTATCTGTGTTCGTTTGCTAATGTTATTAAAGAACAAATAATGTAGATGGTCAACGTTCGTACGATATATTGTGCAAATTGTAAGATTTGAGGTGTAATTTCGATCAATTCAACCTAGTTTCGGTTTATTTTAAACGTAATAAGAGACATCCAAAAGTTCCCTAAAAGAAGCGGTGTTGCGTGTTGGCAGCCCTGCGCGCCGTGAGAGTCTGTTCCGCGCAAGGCAGCTAGCTAGCCGCCAGACAGTGGAATGCCCTAGACGCTGTAACGTTCGGTCTACGTGCCATGACGTCATATATAATAACTCAACTGCACGACCTTGTTTTTGTTGTGTTTTGTATTGGTAATTCGTACGTCTCGCCGCTAGGGATCACTACTGTCGCCTCAGTTTGGTAAGTGCTTTGTTTTTTATAATTTATTTTGTTTTGGTTCCTTGACTGACACGACCTTATGTGCTGCTTGCATGGGCAAAGTGATTACTGTTTGTGTAGTGTATTTACAATCACACGATAATCCATTTAAATGCGTATTTTAATTGTAATAGTTTCCTGTAACAAGGTCGAGGTTTGGATGTTGAATCAGAATATTTTATCGTTCGCTCAGACTGCCTAATCGTACTTACATAAAATGGATGAATAGCTGTTTTACTATGTTGACTCTGCCGTGTTGCAAGTGACATATTATCGCAGTTTGTGAGGAATGCGAAACTCAGATCTGGTCACTTAACAACAAATTATGCAAGCGAATCCTAATTCACATCTACCATTAATTTGTATCTCTTTGGTTTTGAAAGACGATCGTACATTGCAGTAGTTGTAGAAAAATGCTGAGGAAGACAGTGGATCCAGGACAGATCAGCTAAGCGAGGAGTGAAATGTGTGATTCTGCGCGGTTAGAAACTTTGTTATAAGAAGATTTCTGTCTTCTGGGTTATTGCGCTGTGTAGTCTGGTCGATGTCAACCAACGTTTCAGAGGTCATACTGCCTCCGTTATCAGGGCGATGAATATGCCAATAGGGTGTGAGGAGTTGGATTTTATAGGCAGGGAAGTGAAAGGTGTAGCCTGCCCCGAGCCTGCCGAGAACCTCAAGTCTTACATTGTTATAAGAAGTTACGAGGATCTGATAGGTGCCAGATGTTTGAAACACAAATGCGAACAGAAATGTGGTAAAGAACCTCTTGGAAATCGAATGCACTCAGAAGAGAAAAATGGATCTATCATTGAAGACAACCTTAATGGAAGCAACTTGAGAGGAAGTGTATCTGTTTCAGCTGGACCGTGTTTATTGGCCACATTTCCTTTTGGCAGTGTTGGGACTTTGGCCGCTAGATACTTACTTGGTTGAGTGGTAATTAAAGTATTTATTATATATTCTTTGGCTTGCTTGTTTACTGATGTTTGATGTCGTTAGTGATTCAGGCATGCCGTTACCGTCAGGTTATGTGCTAATCTTGTAAAGAATGCTTATATTGGAGGGCAGTAGTTCGATTCATTGCAAGACTTAATGTGCTCAAATGGTTTTTGTAGACGTTTTTCTGTTGAAATAATAACAGTATAACGACGTTGGCTTTTCTGAGCAGTTGTATTAGTTATTTTTATGTGCGCGTGGCTCTGTAGTGATTTGTTTGGACGGCACACTAGGGGCATGGCAACTAACCTATGTATAGGTTTATAAATGTACTTTTTAAAACGAAAGATTTAACTGATGGGCTGTATTTTGTAGCGCCTCTCTGTCAGTATTGAAATATGTGCAAGATTCTAAGAATTGGCCATCCAAGATGAAGACAACTTGGTAGAAGGACGTGAGCAACAAGATAAAGTAATTTTTAATTTTAAAAACGTGGGTGAGGTGGGATAGCAGAGTCCTGCCCTTGCGTTAGACCTAGCATATAAAAGATAACAGAAACCCCCAGTAGGAATTATGATTGGGAGAAAATTGGGCGTTGGACTCTATTTATTGGAAATGATCACATGTTTCTGTGTTTACAAGACTTATATAAAACACTACCTTCCGTCTTGAGACTGGTCATAGATAAAATTCCTTCACTAATATATTTTTAACTGCTTTTGTTTTTCTTAATTACTTAACTTAACTTAAGCAGAATATAACAGGCCTGCACCTAGTCTATTATTACATTTCCCCTTACGTATGCTGCTGCTTTGCGAGTACTTGCATCACATTCTAAGAGACTTTAGAGGGGCAGGATATTGATTTGGCTCATTCCAACGTGTTAGTTGTAGTTCATATCAGTAATAATTAAACATTTGGTTTCTGATTCCATTGGCCAGTTACAAAGAAGCTCGACGTATACAGTATAGATCTGTACACAAAACGAAACACATTAATGCATCTCATGGACGAAATGTCGAGTCACTTGCCATTCAGCATCATGGATTGAATGACTAACATAATTTAATTTATAAGTTGCAAAATTAATTACGCATTTGGACTTAAGAAATCTTCTATTACGCGGCACCTAATAATTTACATGCTAATTAAATGTCTTGATTAACAACAACTTCTGAGAAGAACTTGAAGCGTATTAATTCCTGATATTTCTTTTCTTATTTGTGAAAATGTCCGGGTTTACATCAGTTAATGCGACTTGGCGATTGTTCTGTACAGATTTTCCGAGATTTGTACCAGCTGGAAGTGGGCATAAATTGTAAATTTCCGCACTCACGTTGCTATTGCAGTAATTTGTAATATACGGGAAAAGATTCATTAAAATCGTGTGGTTTAAATTTCTCACCCATCTCCATTCCAATTTACATGCC